GAAAAAACTTATAAGATTAATAATAATGGTCTATCGACTACCTCCCGGTGCGCATAATTATAAGTCTAAATCTATGCAAAAACAAGGGATTAATTCCTCTATTTGCAAGAATCAAGAATATTCTGTTGAATTAACTACTATTCCGTTTGTACAACAATCCCATTATAATAAAATCTTTTTGTTTTGAATAAAACTTTATTGAAAACACAAAACAATCAATTATTGGATTTTATTAACAAGTATTCATATAAACATATCTATAAATACCTAGTACAGTACCATTGCCAGACATACCGTACAAATGTTTTCCGGAGCTAACATTAATATATAGATATAATGTATGTTTTCATTAATTATTAATTGACTTTTAATACGATTTCAATACGTGAATGATTTATTTTAGGCATACCAGTATTATGAGTAAACTTTTTTGTGTGTTTATCCAATGCATGCGATTTATAGACAAATCATTTATAATTAAATCACAAAGCATTTGATCGATTTTATGTGAAAAATAATATTTATATTTAAATTCCGAAAAGCATTTGCAATTTAAATGAGATTTTTAATATAAATAATACGAAAAAATGAAACTTCCAAAAACAATAGACTAGAAAAATAATAGACCATACTTTGCATTTAGAAAAATAATTTTCTGCTTTTATGAGAGTTAATCTCATTTTGTGAACAGATAACAAAATCGTAGTTATTTAATATACCGGATAATTGACTCGTTATATAAGGGTATAATTAAAGTATTTTCGTCTATCGTAATACTCTTCAAACACACAATAATACTAATCCCTAATAGTTATTAGAGGTATCAATGAGAATGGACCGGGTGAATTGCAAAAACAACATACATCTATACTTAATCTCTTAATGTCAATAACGAAATGTCTGTTTTAATTGATAGATCGCTTCTCTATGTTTTTTGTTGTCAATACTGATGCCGAGGGCTCACGACGTGAACACAACGACCGCCACTCTATACCAACCGTTAAGTTTAGTACTGTTTTACAAACTAGTGATCAGTTATTTCGGACGCGAAGAGGCATTGAAGCAAACACTGGACGGACAGCTCATGCCGTTGAAAGGACCGCCTTTTTATGCCCTCTGCATCTGTCTTCCCACCACTTACATGAATAAGTAATCCAATTATTTGTTAATTAAACACTGGTTTTGTTCACACATAATGTCAGTGCATTTGAATTGAAGTAATCTTGTGAGGCATTTCAGATTATAGATGGTGGATACATTAGTATGATTTAGAATGTTACTTACATTATGTGAGTTTAACCGGGATAACTTATTTTAGTTGACGAGTGAGACACATAAATGATAAAAATTAGGGTTAACTTGTTTATAATTTAAAGCATAAATCTAAATATTTGCAATCCATTGAAATAGCATTTTAGTACACCTTATAGTGCACAAAACTGATTTATTATATTAATACATTTTTCCTGTGAATTTCTATATTTCTAGTAAATATTGTATTACAGAATATTCTATTGTGAAAAATTTTATATTGAATAAGAGTAAAATATTTCCCATTTGAAAAATGTTTTATAAATTATAAATTGTTTGCAACTATTGTATGAATTATACAGTAGATTTAAACCAGAAACAATATTTGATAAAGCTTTATATTAAAACCCTTTGCATTAAGCTAAAGGTTTTGATTGAAAAAATTTCAATTTATCATAGAGTATAGAAATCAAAGTATCAGTGTGAATTATGTCTTCATTTTGTTTGCAATCAATGGTTATTACTGTATAAGAAATATAGTGCAAACATTCATTGATAGGGTTATGTCATAAGACATTCAATAATTGTGTTTTTATATCATATACCGGAATATATATATATTTCTTTCGTGTGTTTATTTCAATAGGAAGTTATATTACCTGATGAAGGCCTGTATCTATCAATTATTTATGGCGCCCTGTTTTCTATACTTTGCGATGGGGGTGGCCAGTAAGAC